GAAGAAACAGAATATTATCAAACTTGGGACTTATTTTACCGATGAGGAAAGAATAAAGGATTAAGAATTAAATATGTATCAGTGTATTTAAACTCAGGCAGCACGTTGGTCGAAAAATTATTATTGTATGCATGGAAAAAGTCAATAAAATCTTATTAAAAAAAAGGAGCTGAGGGTTCACAGGCTGTTGTCGACTTCACAGCAAGGAGAGGGTTGCGTAGTTGCGTGTCAGAGGAGTAACTCAGCTGTGCAACCTTAGATTGGCCGTTGGCCTGCAGCTTTTGGAGAATTCGATGCGAACGATTGATTCCAGTCTGGAGAGCAGAGAAGGAAACGTCCTTGGAGCTTGGGGTGGAATTGACATTTGTCTAGCAAAATATGGCAGCTGGCCCCGCCATTCTTCCTTTCTGAAAAAGGAACATTTTCTGAAAATGAAAATGAAAATGAAATTTCCACGGGTCGGAGATAACTAGAGAAAACCCACTGGGAAATGCAAGTAGTCCCGGACCAACGACCGCAATGGAGCTCAAAATTTCTGCTCCTAAGCCAGACAGTCGTTAGGTGAATTTGCCCCATTTCACGACCTTTCTCGCCACCGTTGCTAAGCGAATCAACACAGTGGCTCAGTTAGCGACAAGGTTGTGAAGTGAATCTGACTTACCCATTGTCGGAGGATCGTATGACCCTGGGATGCTGCAACTGTCATAAATACCAATCAGTTGCCAAGCATCTGAATTTGGATGTTGCAACGGTCGTAAGTTTGAAAAACCGTCCTAAGTCACCTTTTCAGTGCCGCCGTAACTTTGAACGGCCACTAAACGAACTGTTGAAAGATACCGGGGTCCTTTTTTTGTGGCTTTTCTGGAAGGAAGCTAGTAGTAAATTCAAGAACTAAAAACAAGCATTCGTAAAGATTCTAGTCCTCGGGAGGAAAAACCGCAGTTATTTCTCCAAGGAGGCTGTTGCAGATTCAAAGGGTTTCTCCTTTGGAAGGTACAAAGCGCCGTTTACAAATCAGGCCACTTTAATACTTGTGGACTTCAACTCCCAGAATTCCCCAGCCAGCCATGACTGGCTGGCTGGGGAATTCTGGGAGTTGAAGTCCACAAGTCTTAAAGTGACCAAGGTTGGACACACTTAGTTTAGATGGTATTTTTGTGTCATTCCACCAAAGTAGATCTTTTCTCCCAAATGTCTTTCATGGGTTTTGGACAGAATTTTCTGCACAGGGCTAAATTTTATCCTGAAAGGTCTCCGAATCAATGCAGCAGCCATGAAATCAAAGGAGCATCTTGATTCCAATTTACAAGTGATTTAACAACAGGAGAGGGAAGCAGGGACTCAAAGGAGTGTTCCCCTAATGAATATAAAGATGCATAAATGCGATAAGAATCTATAGAGCGAATCGATGAGGGGCTTTGCGAAATGGTTCAGGATGGCGAGCACAGAAGCGTGTGTGTGTGTGTGTGTGTTCAATGGTGGCTTTCTGGACCAAGCTTGTGAAATATGAATGGCTGTAATGAAATCTAAACATGTGGGGATTAAAACCCATCATTTCACCCATATGCCGAGAAGGTTT